GCCGACACGCACCCGTGATAGAAACGATCATTACGACATACTAAGTACGTTGTCATTATAATATCATACTTTTTAGTCGGTGTCCGCAATTGTGAATGGACGTCACTGGGAGTAATATTGAACTTCATATGAAACATAGCGACACAGATACCATGATTGGAGACGGCAATGGAGGCAGCAGAATACTGCTGGTACTATTGGTGGTCGTCGGTGTTGTCGCAGTTGTAGCACTCGTCGTTGCATGTATCAGTATCACTAACAAGCCGAATATGACGTTTAACGTCGACGATGGCGATGAAAGTAAGTCAATCTTTTTCTTTTCTTTTCCCGTTAGTCGTAAGCAAACCGACGGATGTCTTAACATACGATTACATTTTAAAATAAATAATCGTGCTCGTTTCTTTCCAAGTTCAGCTGAATTCACGTGGGGTGCGTTCGAAATTGGACCATGTATATGGTAATATACTCGTCGATATCTTGTCCCTGAAAAAAAGAGATTAAAACGATTTGCGTTTGAGTACCCTAACCGAGTACTAGTACCTTAAATAAAATACTAAGACTCGGAAACAATATTATCCTTTCGCAAAAAAAAAAAAAAAAAAAAAAAAAAATGGTTCGTCATGCAGCCTTGCTTTTACTAATCTATGTATATAATTTGTTTTTTATTTTGTTCCAGAATCGTCAGATAAGGAATATATTTGGACCTTTGCTATTGGCCATGATGGAACATCTCTGGAATACATGTGAGCATGCGCACACTTTGTACAATAGTGTTTCCACAACAAACAAGTTTTAGCATAGTGACACAACTATCACAATAGATTCGTTTCAAGCAGGGGGGGGGGGGAGTCCAATCTCCCAGGCAGACTATTTAGATTATTTATATACTTTCGGTGATCTAACCGCAGGGAACTCTGGGAAGGAGAATGGGGAGAGTCGTCACCTCATAAGCAACGATAACAACGCAAAGGCTCATGGGTAGACTCATGTTTATAAACATCGACACCATTGACACTGCAGGTCTGTGCTGAGACGGTGCTTCCTGTGACGACACAACGCATCGACACGCTATGGCCGTCTGTCGCATGCGAAGGTGTCGACTTCCTGTTTTGATTCAACATAAACGAGCACATCGTGCACGCTGATTGACAAGTACTGATCGAAGAAAGTTTGAACATGTCAGTCCAGCCATGTTAACAATATGGCTCCAAAAACAGCATTCGTTAAAAACAAAATGGCCGTCAGTCAGCCATTTTAAATCAAATCTGGGGAATAGCATCATTATATTTAATATACATACTAAGTTTGAAAGAAATACGTCCATGCACGAACGAGATCCAGTTCCGGAATGGCAGAAAATCCTGATTTTGACGATTTTTAGCACTAAAATGACCGGCATTATATAAATTATAATAACTTTTTCACTTGAGTCATTTTGTACATTTCTTGTTTTAATCTTATCCTTTGTTTGTATTGCTGACAGCGACGAAACAGGCGGGCTCAAAGGGTTCCACGTCGATATTGTTAACGCAGGTATGGTATATGTTCTTTATTTATTTACCATGGCCTCATTGTACTAGTATCTCAGACTGACACGTGATTACCCCTTTTATAATATGCACATATAAAACCGACGAGTGAAGTATGGTGCATAACACATTCACCAAGTGTTTCTGTCAAGATATTTACGTAGTACATTAAATCTTTTTATCGATCGTTTTTATTGCCATTCACCCAGTCACGTGCTCTTTTTTTTTTTTTTTTGCGAACATTAAATACGTCTATTGTACTCAGTATTATGATGCCCATGATGTAGCATCCGAATCGCACGGATCTACAAACTCGATGTAAACTCCCTCATGAGACCGAGCGTGGTTCTACCGAGAGGTCGCATATTTGTCCTCGGTCAAATAGATACATATATTCGATCGAGAGTGCCTCTGAAACAGGCGCCCAATCAGAGGTGTAACATTGCATGAAAATTGAATAACAAACAAACGTAAAACAAAATGATTGGATGTCGAATTGCCAAAGAGGGCGCATTTAAAGACACATTCGCTGGGAGAGTATAGTCGTGTTTAAGCGATGGTTGAATGAGCGAACCTTGGCTGGCGAATATGGAGTATACCAGGGAGATCTGGGAAGTAGCAACCAAGCTATCAACATTCTATCATAGATGAATATTATGAACGCCCACCGTACTTTTCTTCGCAGTACCCCGAGGTACATCCATTAAGATGGTGAAATATTGTATAATAATAATAATCGTGTAAGTTATCTCATCACCAACTATTACTAATATTAAACAACCTAATTTTTTGTTTCAGTTTGTCAAATAGCAAACAAGAACTGTCGACTTATTTTTGATCTTTATCAAAATTGCTGGGACTCCGAGGTCGGCCATTTTCCATTCGCCGGAAAAGGGTTACTTGGCCGTTGGTATGACGCCTGCACCGGTCAGTTCACATAGTTTGTTTATTTTTGCCTTGTTTGTTTTTATGCATTAACAATCAATGATCGCCTTCAATAATTTTTTTAACAAATGGACGTTGAGAATTGTCTAGTGAAATGTGATTAAATTATATCATCACATGTACATTTGCTTTGATAGGATGGTTTGCTACGTACGAGCGTCTTCGTAGTGTTGATTTCACCGATGAATTCAGGTCAGCATTCCCGGCTGCGTTTTATGTGAAAAACGGTAATAACAGGAATTTTGACTGGACAAATATTGCCGGGAAAAAGATTGCTATATTCGATGGATGGGCTTCGGATGAATATTGTATTGGCAGGAATTCAGAAAAAATAGCGGTAATGGCTGACTTTAACTTCTATAGCATTCTTAACTAATATGTTCGCTGGTATAGAAAATTGCGATTACTGCTGTTCATGCTAAACGAGCACGTGTGCACCGTCCAATTACCTATTTAAACGCGTTTGGTAGATAGGTTGGAGTTGTGTGGCGTGTACGAACGGAATGACGTGTGAAAGGACGGACGCCTCGGGACAGTAGATCGATGGGCAATCGCATAAGAAGAGCTGGCGCTTGATGCTTGCCCCTTTAACCATATTGCATATTCTAAGATAGCTTTCTATATTTTTTTCTGTTGTGTTTTATATAATGATATACATAATGGAAATGGTATTCGTATTCCCGCTTCAAACACCACATTCTCTGGTACACGTACCAGTATTTTGAATACCATGCACCGGAACTCAGCTGCCGCCTTTAGTTGCGCCCTCATCGGCGGGAAACCTAGCCCTCAAAGCGAACAACGCTAGGCCTATTGAGATTGACACATTTCTTTTTTGGTTTTATTTTCAGGGCACTGATGTAACTGACCCAAACCAGTTCATTCATTATTCAAACAAACTGGCAATATTGAATGCAATTAACAACGAGTTGGTGAGTATTCATATTTTGACGAGGGAGAACAAAAAGCTCCCTATTTACCACGCCACGTGTAGCTTACCTAGACAATGTATATGTACGTGTGTATGTTAGTACACCACACGAACAGCTCCCAGTCACTGACAACAAGGCTATCCTGACTACAGTACAGCTGGACGATAAATATCATGTAGGAGAAACAGTAATAACTGGGACCTGGAAAACATTGGTTTTCTGTAAATTATTATTATTTACACCCCTCGTTGTTTCAATTATATTGTCACCTTGTGTTTTTCTTTTCTGCTCTCCTCCCGCGACAATTCTTTTTCTCAAAATCCTCCAGTCCCGAAGTACTTATACTTATACATCTAATATAAGAACACATATTCATAACGTTTTAAGGGCTATGACCGTCGCGTGTTCGAATTTCATGTAAACAATGTATTTTACACGCGTTGTGTACGTCGCTATGAGTCCCCTATCGAACAGGACGTGGGGCGACGACCAGTGTGGCCCCATTCTCACCCTCGGAAGCGACTGAAAAGTCTAAACGCCAATTTCACATTTCAATCAATGCCAATATTCGACTACGAGCTCATAGATCATCTGTCGTCAAACCAAATCATATCCTTAAATTGCATTGCATATTTCCTCGTTCCCCAGGTCGATGCTGCGTTCGTCAATACGAACATGTTCACACAGACTGAAGCTGAGAAAGTAGGCGACGATCTGACATGCGTTAGAGGCGGGGGAGCGATGATGATGCGTAAGGACAGCACACTGGCATCTTGGTGGAATCCGGCATTTACACGCCTCAAGGAAACAAGCGAGTACCGCCAAATATGTCAGGCAGTCACCGACGATCACGGTAATGTTCAATGATAACAAAATAAGTGTCGAATTTGTCTAGTTTTAAAAATAAAAACATTAATCAATGTCATCACATGTGCTGAAAGTTGGAAAAAATATGTCAATTCAAGCATTCTGGCACTAATAATTCAGTTAATTTTTGATGTTTTGTGTGGTATTTATTTATTTATGGGTTAAATATACGTCTCCAGCGAAAATACATTCCAAGTGAAAATAAAGTACTTAACATTATATTGCAAAATGACCCAACATAGAGGTACCCAACTAGCTGAATGCTCCAATGCCCCTTCTGGATCTGGATCTGGATCCGCCACTGGACCATACTACCAAATTCCCTGTAGTATTGATCTATGCTGATACCAATCAAGAATGTAATAAGTGCTTTATTATTACAACAATCATTGAAATATTTTGATGTTTTCATTTTTACTTTGTTACAGGGGATATGCCGGGAACTGTGGTCTGTGTTGACTAAATATTTCGCCACACACAAGAAGAAAGAAATATACACATGGCGCCCTCTAGTGACCAAGCGCATCTTGTCAGAGTTATCTAATATTAACGTCAAGTAATTCCGTGTGATGCCAATTAATATGATGATTCTCGAGTGTCCGGAGTGTCCGGACAATGAGACAATGACGTCATTAAATATTCAAATATGTTGACTTCCTTGTATGAGTTAGAAACTAAGTACACTTTTAGTTTATAATAAAACAGTTAAACTACCTGAAACATGTCTGGAGATTATTGCCCGGAGACTCAATTTCATTGAGATACGTACGTGAAGATCGGGAAAATATCAACACTCAAACGAATTGCCCTGATTGTTTTTGTAATATTTTCGTCAATAATAAGTATCGACAAAAATATATAATTTGTTGTTTAAAATATCAAAAAATTATTTTTATATTACGTATTTTTTCTAAAGAACATCTAACTACATGGACACCCCACGTAACGAAATTTCAAAATGTCGGTTCATTGTATATTTCCGATGAATGGATGCGGTGGAGAAGATGGTTTATCTACTGACAACTCATTGAGTTCTTTAGTTTGAAAGATAATTTCCGCGGGGCAGACACATTTGTGTCATTTGGATCATTCAACTCGTGTGTTACTAAGAAAGAACCATGGCTTGGCTAAAATCACGCTGTTAGTTTACGACCAACCAGAATCCAATGTGACAGTTTATACAAGATGCAGAATCAACCCAAAATACTTATCCTTATTTTATTTTCACCAGGAAACACAATATACGTATGTCGTTCTATAGTCATCTGGTGTTTATGATAGCTGTTATAACCGTGTTGAGTGGCTGATATACTGTAAAACACGTCTTTTTGCTAGCATGTTATTTTAGCTAATTCAGTTCATCTGTCACGGTAATTTCGCTAATTTAAGATGTAGCTAATTTAACAGAAAGTATATTTTCACAGGGAGATAGTCGACGCTTTAGCTAAATTAAGATTCTTATGCCAAGAGGCAAATCCGCTAAAATAGCATGCAGCTATTTCAACATGTTCTGCCTGTCCCTAACAATAGAGACGCTCTTGCGCGGATTTAGAGAAAGGCTGGCAAAAAAAAAAAAAATCATATTTTTCGATCACGTAATGAGGAGATTCAGATTCAATAGCAGTAGTGCTCCCCTGTTGCCAGTGGCGTGAACAGATCGCAGTGTGACCATAGACACTATGCATGGAAGGGGTACAAGTTGCGATCGCTTAGAATATGGGCATTGAAGGTAGAAGTACTAGAAAACGTCCAAACTTGTCAATAATATACACATATACAGCCATTTCAAATACGATTATTCAGTACAATAACTAGGAAGCTATACATGTTATTACTATGGATATAAAATAATACCAAATAAAATTCAAGAAAGTGAATAGTGCAGAACAACAGGAATCATTACAGTTTCTCGTTCTTAGTTCATTTTTTTCTTGAAGTCCCTGGATGTACTCGCGCTTGTCTCGGAAAAGGCATATCGAAATGAACAATGAATGAGTGTATTAGTAAATCTTCCCAATAGACATTGAATACAATGACGATGTGGGCTCTTAACAGATGAAAAGGAGGCGTGCGGCCGTGCGCGAATGTAACTAATGATTTTAAGATGCACCCAGTCACGGTAATAAAATTAACAGCAGTGAACGAACAATAATTGAAAACAAAATACAATTATAAAATACAGAATTCAAGATATAACACTGTAATAGGAAAAAGGACAATGAAAAATAGCTAATTTTTGAATTTGGAAGGAGGTGTTGCAGTAAGAAAGCGTTTTTTAATAAAACCAATGTCAGTGTTATATGGACCATAGTGTCTTTGCTTTTTGTTAACATTAGGAAATTCTTTCCATTGTTTAAGTTCATTCATTCATTCTTCGAAAATACCTTACATATTTTTTTTCATTTGTTTTGTCTGGTATGTCTTCCCTTTTCAATTTGTAATTGGTGGTTACTGAGACAAAATCTAATGAGACATTCGCGAAGTTGTACCTTTAATAACGTAAGGTATTTTTCCATACAAGGTTGATTTTTGAATTCCATGTTCTTGGTTTATTTTTACCTTCTGGTTATTAATTCTATTATTGTCAATGAACAATTCTTTTTTTTCATTGTAAATGGAATCATTTTTTTATGATTCACTAGTTAAATTAGAGTAAAAATCACAATGACAAACAAAAGACACATTAACAATGGTATCCCATGATTCCCTAGTGCAATTCCTGGGATTTACAAATGTCTCTTTAAAATGCACGTGCATCCTGTTTTATTGAAATTGCCACAGAAGATGATCAATGTAAAAATGTCGTGCATTTTAATTGTTTGCGCTTGTGCATAACTAGTTGGTGTTCAATAAAACATACCATGGGTCAAAGCTTCACGCAATTATAGTGCAGAGGTTGTAACTTTCGAGTGATCATGGGTAATTTCAATCCCAAAACTCCGACTCAATCCAATAATCCTTATCCCCTGTTTCATTAATCCACTGAAACAACAATTGATATAAACGTCATTTGCATGGATTATAATTACTCTAGGATAGTTACGTTAGTTATACACTCGATAAAAAAAGGAATTACAAACTGGGTACTTTGCTTTAAGCGACACGAACCCGTTTTCAATCTTAGTTCTAACTAATAAACTCCACCGAGACTTCATATCTGTCATCTTATTATCCTCGGGGGCGGACATCCGGGCATTTTCTACCGCCTGGCAACCCTCGCGGTGAAAACAAAGACCAAAAACTCGCAGAAAACGGTACTTTGCGATGGTTTTTGAGAGTCCTCTGAACAGTGTAACAAGATTAGCCATACGTGTGTAACATATATAAATTTGGTTGTTCAGGATTACTTCAAAGTTGAGTTTGTGTTGTTTTCTCGAGTTTTCACCGGCTCCACCGGCGTTCCACAGCAGCGCGCACTAAGCCCATAGAAATTCATGGTACAGTGATGCGCGTCTTAGCAACGTAGAACGTCCGTGACGTAGCTCCGCCCCCGAGGATACCAACAAAATATGCTAACTTTTGTATATTTATATTTTACACGCAAACAACCGGACGGAATATATGCACCATTGAGCTCTGGACAAAAACTTCCGAGTTTGGAAATAAATGCAATTATGAAATTACTTGTAATAATTGCATCCGTTTGATTAATAAACGTTAGCAGACAAATATTACTCTCCTGTCTTCAATCACTTCAATCTGTCTGTGTTACAGTACATTTCAAGTTTAACAACGCCCCCATGCGCTCCTTGAACAAAATCTGAATCACGCAAAGTCTCGCTATTTTTTGAATATTCTTCCGAGAAATTGCGAGACTTTGTATGGATAGACAATCTGATTCGCATTTAATAGAGATGAATATACATACTGTCATTTGGAGAAAGAAGCAAGTGTAGTATAAGCGTTCAACATAGTTATCAAATTATCGTATTTATTTTAGTAAAAACAAAAGTTTTGATAATTTCTTGATTCCACGCCTTCTCAAGGTAACGGTTTGATACATCCGGGTATTTTTCCCACAATGCCAAGCAATTACATTCGGTTTATGCTAATGTAAGGTAGTCATCCATTGATCAACGGATTGTTACATTTTGGCTGTCGAATGTTCGGAAATTTCTCTTGATTTTCGCTTTTTTTTCACGGTTGCAACGCATTCATCGCGACCAGGAACACTCTTAATATAAGACACATACATCAGGACAATTTTATTTATTTTGTAACGTTTTTAAAAGATTCGTCTGTCGCCGGTGGAAGACGGAGCGAGCTGTCGATAAAACAACATGGGGTGCACACTAAGCGCCGAGGATAAAGCCGCAGCTGAGCGGTCGAAAATGATCGACAAAAATCTGCGAGCGGACGGGGAAAAGGCAGCGAGAGAGGTGAAACTGTTGCTGTTGGGTGAGTTCAAATTTTCGTCTATTATTCAACGAGACGAGTCGGTTTTCATTTTGTGGAAGGCAGAAAAATGTATGATTAACAATGCAATTTTGTTGAATGTGTTATTTTTTGAAATTTCATTGTTGATTTGAGTCGATTTATCTGGGAGACAGACACAATGATTTCACGTATTTTTTTTGTCGGTTGCCTAACATATCATTTCTTATATCGCTTGGCAATTTTACAAATATAAAAATGCTATCTCGCCAAAAAACGAACAGAATTTTGTTAGAATGTTGTACACTCCTCGTCAGGTTTCAGTTTGGGGTCATGAGGCCACGGCGGGGGCGTCGAATTTGAAAAAAAAAAAGTTTCTCAGTGCTACTGTGAATGTATATTACAATTATTGCTCAGCTATATGTACTCAATCGGAAATAGGTAACCTGAAAAGAGGCTTAACGTCGGGTGATTCAGATCATGTATGAAATGTGATCTATATAGGAAAGTACATAGCTTACGTGTTGTTGCAATACGTATGATAATTATTATGTTGGGTATTTACATTTCTTGTCACCTCTACTCAATCGAAGTACCAGACAATATTTTTGAATTTATAAGAGTCTGGTTGTTTGAAGACTCAGACTACACATCGTTCGTGACACAATGATTTTGCTGCGTATTAATTAAATACCAGTATGGTTTCGTTACTAACAAAAACCACAATCCACATGGACCATAAACTGGGCACTATCAACATTTTTCTTATTGTATAATGGATATTCAGTAAACTTGATCGCTGAGGAACAAAAAAAGACAGACAACTATATAAACATTTACAATTTAATTTTGGCAATTGTAATAAATTTTTCAATCTGCTAGGATGGAGTACACATTTAGATGAATTAGTTTATAATGGTAAATTATTCAGTGACTAAATATCCTACTGAATAAACATGAGTTATACAGAGAAAGAATGTGTTAACTTGCAAGCAGTTGTGTCAGATTGCTCATTCACATATTAATAATGTACTATTTATAGATATACTATGTTAATAACTCCTGTTCTTGTTTTTTTTGGGGGGGGGCAGTGGTACATTTTTTATTGAAAACTAGGATTACCATTTAATAGATAAATGTTCTGTAAACACATACACATTGATGCTAAGTCCAGATTCTTTGTAAGTCTTGTTGTTATATGGTACATACATGGCTCAACATTTCATAGAGGTCATCAAGATCTACATGTAGACACCCCTCTCCCACTCTGATTACCTTGATGTTCTTCAAATAGTCGCATATTTTTTCTATAATTTCAATCAGTCCAAGGGATTTGGCATTGGAATTAATGCTTTTAGGATGCTAAAGCTAATTTGTCTCCAGTATGAAATGGTGAAAATGTCCTGGCATGATATCTCCTTACATTATTTAATTTTTACACTTTTCATGTTTATAGCTTGTCCTGAGAATGTGTTTCACTTACATTGCAACATTAATCATAAATTCGAAACCATTGATTCATATCTTTTCAGTGTTTTATTGGTTCACCTTTGTAACATAGTCTGAGCAGTGATGTTTTTCTTTTTATGGGTTTGTTGCTAAAACGCAAACAAATGGTAATAAAAGGTCTGTAAAAAATGTCTGAAAATTGTGCAATTAACTGAGTCTAGGTTGGAATAAAAACGCTGGTAGAAAAAAAACACATTATTTCTGAAATTGTTTAATGACTATTATTATATGGGCTGATTGATTTAATCTTTGATGTTTGCATATGTGACCTATCACGGAATTAACTGCTTTTTGGCATTAATAATAAAATTGTTTGCGAGAATGAACATTTGCAAACCTAAAGTGTTTACTATATTTCCTTGACTGTTTGAGAGATGCATATTTCACAATAATTTAAAACTTCTGAATTAAAAACTATTGAGGACATTAATTTGTTTCTTTCTTGAGCGTTTTATCTCATTTTATTACAAACGCTATAAATTATTCAAATATGTATTGTTTATGTGTCTTAGTCTCCAAATGCTACAACACAGATCAATCATTAAAATTAGTTTACCATATGCTATCCAGATCAAATTGTGACTGCATAAGTAATTTACATAAATCGATGCTACCAGACAGGATTTAATTGGTGTCATAGTACAAGTAGCTGGCATATTTCTTTAGTAGTGATAATGACACTCTATATAATTAGCCCCTATTGGCATCACTAATATTGTCTACATTTTCTAATTATATTTGTTGATGTGCTTCAGACTGTCGTGGATATGCATCATAACAAAGTCACTGTGCTTCATAGTGCTGTCGCTGTGCAGCATACCACAATTGCTGTGCACAATACCACACTCATTTTTTGACGCAAATTCAATATTACCTCCAATTGAAAATTTGCGAGCCTCTCAATGTCTGTAATTTACATGACATACCCTTTTATTTATTTATTCACTTATCATACCACACCACTCAAAATTGTACAACACACGTTTATTGTGAAAGTGTCGTTTTCTTTGCCTTGTTTTGAAAAATTATTGTAGAACAAGGGGAAAAGGAGTCAGGTTTCCAAAAGTGGTATAGACAGACTCTATTGCTATGTAGCAGGGAGAGTAGATGACATATGATTAAGTGTCGTGATTTTTCGAAAATTCATTAATTTGCTCAACCTGTTGTATAGATTGTATCTTTCTGTTTATCTGACATTTTCTGTAAGGATGAAACTGTAATTAACGTCAAGCAGTGGGAAAATCCCGTAAATCCAACGTCCTTTCCCAGATTAAAAATGCTGATTTAATTGCAGAAGCATTAGGCGCAAATTCAGAGTGCACACAACATAGGCTACAAATGTATATTGGGATTATCTTGCTAATCAGGACTCATGTAACTAATAAGGTTAAACATTTATTAAATTTTTGTTTTAGGTTGTATATGTGCTATATAATTATTAGTCTTTTATGAACTGAATACAGATTTTATTGGCTGGGTTTTAACAAAGCTGGACAGGATATTGTAAATCTATACACTGTTTGTTTAATCGTTTTATCATATCGTTATGATGTGGGCAATATACAAGGTATGGTATTAAGCAATTTTAGTGAATGATGCGCTATAACAACTTACTGTAATATGGCATTTTATCATGATTTTTATTTTTTCACATATTAATAATTAATAATATTAATATATGTGGTAGATCGAAGCAGCACGACAATAAGATGATCCCTCCCTATAGGGTGCTTTATATATCAAATATTGTCGTTATTAAAGTAATGAGTTCTGTATTTCTGAAAAGCTTTGTTAATTAACAGTTTTGTTTTCAGATTCATTGTTAACTTTAACTGTGATTTTGGCGCCATTTCATTTTTCCTGTAGCATAATGTATGCATTTCAGTTGTCATGGAAACGTATTTTCCTAATCAACACTAATTAATCTGAGAAAAAACTAAAAAAAAAAAAAAAACTGATGGCAATTGAAAAGCATGTTTTTCATAAAAAAAGAATATTTTATTTATAATGTCTGAAGATAAAAGAATACGTGACTGAAATAAAAAAAATTTTTTTGACTCTTGTGTGGTTGGGAGTGTAGCAGGGATGCAATCAACTGTATACCCTTGTTAAATTATGTACATTTTTTTAGTAAGTATCTGATTGCTATATAATTTTTGGATATGGACTCCTATATTCTCAATGGATGTAAGCCCAGAATCAGTTTTGATAGATTTTACGTGTATTTTGTATTGAAATTGGAAATAAGCAACCACCTCATGCAGTGGTTCTAGATTCATATCTCCAGTCAACATAGGTGGAAATTATGCAGTCATCCTCTTACAAAAAAATGAGAGCTAGGAATGCCAAAAAAAAATGTTTTAGCCCTTCATTTTCACTCATACACATACATGGTGATAAACAGGTTGTCACAATTAAAGCGAGGGAGTTGTCACCTGCGCATACGGGAAACGTCTACCCACATGCCTTTGCGTTTTAGCATGTGTTATCGTCACTTTGGACTCGGTGTGTGCGCAGGTAACAACCCCTCCTCTTTAAGATCTGTCCACCTTAGATCTGTCCATATTAGTTTTGATCAGGCAATACTCTAGTACAGTCTTACGAGTAAAATTACTTTTTAAAACTTAAGTGAAAACTGACTGTTCAGGCTGTGTTAATAACAAAATTTACTTCAGAAATGTTTTCTTTGCGATCAACAAATAGATGTTGGGAATTATTGTTAATACCATGCAGCATTTTGATTTGTTAATGGCATTTTTGACCTATCAGGTCAAAGGACAGCAAGGTCGGTCAATGTCGAGAAAATTACATATGTTCGAGCATTTGTATGGGATTTTTTGAGAGTTCTTAAACATTCTTTCAAAATAACACATGTTAACTGTATTTCATAGCAAACCTAAGAAATACAATTTTGTGTATCAAATAATTTGCATAACAATCAAATATGTTAATCACATTTATTATTATGCTAAATTGATTATTCATTCAAAATTAAATCATTTGAAACCCCTTCTCTGTAATGCTGAACCCTGGCATACTAAGCAGTGCTATTTAAAACCATTGGTTGAAATGTTGGAATCCAATAAATTAGGCGACTCTTGTGTTATGTTTGTGTATTGTAACCAGAGAACTGAACATATCAGCTTCTAAGATTATAATACAGTCACAATGTGTAAGTGCTATAATAACAGGAATGTACTTGTTGCATATAACATTTGTCTGTTTTTGGTTTGACTAGACTGTGGTTGTGCTCATGTTGCTTGTCATGTTGAATAGACTTGTCAAAATGAACAGTCGTGATTAAAGTAGTGAATATTCAAATGAGAGCAAATGCAATAGTATTTTTTTGCCAAATTTCCAAATTTATTTAGCTTGAACTAGCTGTTTCTTAGCCCCTTTTATACTGTACATCAAGATATTTTGATCATAGAATACTAATAATTTACTAATAGAGCTAATACAGTATTAATTCCGGCTACTGGACGCCCATATGACTTGCTGTTTTTTTATCTTTG